ATTCAAACATATTTCGTGTATTTGCAACTAAATCTGGACTTGTAAACAAAATGACGTCACAACTTGTGCTAAATTTTCTTGAATTTCTAGAGAAATACGTTTTTAAAACAAATTTAACCATGATATTTTCATTAATGCCAATAAAATACACATTTTTAACATTGAAATTTTTTCGTGTCATATGCACTTTAAGATTAAAATCTAAAAAGCTTACAAGCCATTTTTTTTTTACAAAAAATTAAAGTTATACTAACTATTCTATTGAATTCTTAGAAAATGGCATCAATATTGTTAGAAAGTCTTTTACACCTCAAATATCAAATTTGTGAGAATATTTTCTCATAATTGTATTTGTACAACAGTGTTCAATTCATTGCTTACAAATTATTTCTTTCTTCATTGCAGGACTTCATTCACATTCGGAGGCCAGTTGAAAGTAAGTCGATAACATTGTTTTTATGATACAGTATAATCTTGATCAGAGGCCAACTGGATTTATAATCCATTTAGTTGCTCTCCATTCTTATTGGATGTCCAAAAATTTGAAATAACATTATCAGCAGTTGGGTGTTAGTATTTCAATCAAGTAAGGGAATCCTACCAACTGCATTTATAATCAATTTAGTTGCTCTCCATTCTTATTGGATGTCCAAAAATCATGACATTTCATATAACTGTTAGACCAACTGTATTTTTGAAATAACATGTTGTAGCAGTCAGGTGTGAGTATTTCAATCGAGTAAGGGAATCTTGCCTTACCTCAGCGGTCTTGATGCAAAACCATCAGCTGGCCAGTAACTGGCCAAAGCAATCCAACAGATTCAAACAGGAGTTTTCCTGATTTTAACCAGCATGGAAAGACAATATAATTATACATAATACTGTTAATAAATTATGCCTTCTTTAAAATTACTTATACTTCTATCGGTGAGTGTCTCAATAGYGGCCTTCGCTTGGATTTTGATTCGTCGACTGACGTTACTGACTCATCCAGGTCAAAAGATTCTCCCACTAGAGATGCACCAGGCATTTCCTTATCGATAGAGCTTTCCTCTTGACTACCTTGGAATACATCAGAATAACAACAGTCTTGCTCCATTGATCCATTTCCAGAACCTTCCCCCACCAAAGTTCCAAATGAACTTGTACTTGAGGTCTTATGACTTTCAGACCGCGTTCTTTTAGTATCTGGGTGTGGTTTCTTCTCCCAGACCAGAGGTTGTTCCTCGGTGGTCTTAGGTGACTTATCTTGTGCATACGGGTTCAACAAAGGATCATACATAGGAAAATCCACATCATCACTAGGACTCATTGGTTCATTTGTATCCTCTATAGAATCCAGTGTGCTTTCACGTGAAAATTTACTTCCCAAAACATTTTCTTTCGAATCCGAACTAACACTTTCATCTCCTTCAGTGACATCAGACAACTGTCTTCCATGGTTGCCCAGAATACGGTTAGGTGCTACAGAACTGACAGTTGGAGCATTTAGACAGTCCATATTTTGCCCCCCTTCCGTAGAATCTTCACTGCTTAACGATGGAGTTCTTGGTCTGTGTGGTTTCATGGATTCTATACTGTTCAATGGTAAAACGGGGTCTGATTGCGAGTGCTTTGGAGGCCAATGAGATATATCTTCAGGTGCTACAGCTGTACTAGGTAAGCTCTCACTCCGCAGTCTTGAAGTATCAAACATTTTATCACTGCCTATAATAACTGTTGGTAGTCCTGAACTACGACTCGTGGATGAGCCTGGGGAATGCCCGTCGGGGGGAGGGGATGGGCCAGGTTCATCATGGTGATATAAGGTAGTGTCTGCTCCAGTCGTCTTTGATAGAATATTGAGTATTGCATCTATTTTACGTTCCACACTAGTAACCTGAATGAATTGATAGAAACTAGGTTAGGAGTTCTTGGAGAGAATAATAAGATGTCATTTTGGGTATAGGTTGCTATCAATAGAGGTCACTTCCGGTAATAGCTGCGTTTTCAATGCCTTGTAGAATCTTGAAGGCTGTTTTGATCTCTCATTTTCTGGTTTCATGTCGTAGAAATAGTCAAATAAAATACTTTTAGGACTTATTTTGACTTAACATCTGCTGGTTGCCCCTCAGTCAACTGCTTGTTTGCCCCCCAGTCAACTCCAAAAAGTCACTTGATTGATAGTAAGCAATATGGAGCCAGCAACTTTTGAATTATTCACATTTATTCATGTACCTAAAGCTGTCTTACTATAAAAATTTATATATTTCTTGTGTTTGTTATTGCATATTAGTTTTCATCCATCTATTCACTCCCTTAATCACATATTCATTCATCCATCCACTTATTCATATCCACTTATACATTCATTCATCCACTTACTCGTTCATCCATCCATCCATTGATTGATTCATCCACTCATTCATTTTTCCACTTCTTCTTTTCATCCACTTCTTCATTCATCCACTTCTTCATTCATTTATCCATCCACTTATTCATTAATCTATCCACTTATTTATCCATCCATTAATTAATGAATTAATTGATTAATCCATTTATCATAATTTATCAATTTTTTTCTCCCTTCATTTTCTCAATATTTTCATTCATCTCTATTCTTTTCTCTCTCTTTATTCAACATTAAATACCTGTCATCATGTGACAACAACAGTTTTATAAACGTAATTAGTTTCCATGGTAACAGTCTGGTATACTTACTTGCTGCTCCACCTTAATCAAACGGCACGTGATACTTGACCGAAATGAACTCTCGTCTTGTACTGAAAACAATAAAGAAAACTTTAAACAATGCGATATTGTTGAAGTTTACGCAGGGCTGCTGTTAATACATTTTAAAACTTACATGCATTTTCTCTATCCAAAACGACTTTGTCAATCCTGTAGGGAAAAAATACAATCAAGAAAACAGATTTATAATATTGACTGTATAAACCCAACTTTGGATAGTATTGAGAAGTGGGAAGTAAGATTTACAAATAGCATAAGAGGCTGCATGTTGAAATAATATTGTGGAAAGTGGTTTCTAAGTTCTTCAATTTAAAGAAAAAAG